AACATGATAACAATTTTACATCGGCGGTCAAACTATTTATCGCAACACTTTTCCTTTATCAAACTTGGAACGTTCGATATGACAGCCCAATAGCTCACCAGGGCTCCCTGCGTGGGGCTCGCCACATGGCTTGCCACACACGATCACTAGTCATTGTTGGCGGACCAAAGGGCGGGTCCCTTTTTTCCAAAAACAAAACTCACACGATCACTAGCCATTGTTGGCGGACCAAAGGGCGGGTCCCTTTTTCCCAAAAACAAAAATTTTCTTTGAGCACTACATGATGGAAGAGCTGGGCTATGTAAGAGACTAAAGAGTCCAATAAATAAATAAATAATAAAAGTAGTCAGTTCAGCTAAGTATCATGACTTGACAAGCCGTTTTAAATGTCATGTTAACCACCAAAAGTAACTATTGCCCCTCTGGATTTTCTTCCTAACTTATTTTTTTTATATATTTTTGGACAAATTTCATAAAACCTTCAATATTTTTATTTTTTTATTATAAAATCTCGACTTGTTTCTAAAAATTCTTATACTTTTAAAAAGTGTTCACATTGCCCCAAAATCCATATCCGACCTGTTAATTGAGCTGTGAAATGACAAATTTGACCTTACCATTTAATATTAAATTAAAAAATAAAAATATTTTTATTAAATTACAAAAAAACCCTTAAATAGGGAGCAAGCGAAGAAGAAGGCGGCGGCGGCTGCTTCTGCGGCGGCGGGTGGTGGGGATTCGAAGAGCTTTTCGAGTCTGAGGGATGCGGTGAGCACCAAGCCGAAGAAGAAGAAGATAAGCTTGCAGGAGTTCACGATGCAACGCCTAGAACCGGCGTTTGATTACAAAGGTTTGACGCCGGACGAGATGCTCAGGCTTTCGACCGGGCCGAAGGAGCGGTCTGCGGAGGTAATGCAGTCCGGCCGGATTGACGGGGGTTTCTTTTCTTACGGCCGGTCCAGTGGAGGACTGGGTCGTATGCGGGATCGAGACGGAAATGGTGATAATACTTGGGGAAATAATCTGAAATCTTACAGTGGTGGATTCGATGACGATCGTAGGGGTCCGCCTTCTAAGGTTTCGGATTTTGATCAACCCTCGAGAGCTGATGAGGTCGATAATTGGGCATCGGGGAAGAAATCTCTACCATCCTTCGATTCCGGCCGCTCTAATCGGTACAGGTAGCTTGGTGGTGGTGGTGTTGAGGTAAGAGGCATGTCTAGGGCTAACGAAGTTGATAATTGGGCATCTGTGAAGAAGCCAATGCCTGCAAGATCTTCAACTTTTGGTTCGGGTTTTGTCGTAATTCTGGTCCAGAACCAAATCGTTAGACCAGGGGAGGATGGGGAGCAGGAGCTCCGCCGTTTGGTTTTGGATCCGCCACAGGTAAGGTCATATTTTAGAGAGAGAGAAGGGGTGAAGAAAAAGAAGACTTGAAGGGTATTTTAGTAATTTTAAAAAATAATTTTTAGTTTTTAATTTAATGTTAAATGGTAAGGTCAAATTTGTCATTTTACAGCCCAATTAACGGGTTGGATAAGGATATTGGGGCAATGTGAACACTTTTTAAAAGTATAGGGGTTTTTAAAAACAAGTTGGGGTTTTATGAACAAAAAATGAAAATATTGGGAATTTTACGAAATTTGCCCTATATTTTTCTATAATATATATATATTGGAAATGTGTTAAAATTCTCCCTACTGAATTTCTCTCTCTCTCTCTCTCTCTCTCTATATATATATATATATATATATATATATATACACACACATTATTTGTAAATATATATTATAATTTACAATATTTTCGCTTACAAAATTTCCTGGCCCTTTGAACATACACAAGCGGAGTTGACTAAAACTAATAATAATAATAAAATAATAGGCTGAACAAGTTACATTCTTTTAATCTCGTCCATAGCGTCTTGAAAAACTGACGTCCACAATCTCCACTCTAAAACAAAACAAAAAAAAAAAGTAACAATTGCCCTCTTCATATAGTCTATTCATTAATCACTAATCATTAATCATTAATCATTAATCATTGGATCTTTGTGGTGCATGCATGGAGCAATGGTTGTTAACATTTGTGAACTTATTTTTTAATAATTGCTTTGCAAGTTGATACCACTTTCTGGGCATGGTTGCATTTGATGTTCAAAAGCCATCCTTGTTCCACAATTCACTCGCCTCTCTTATTTATTTTTGTAACTCAATAGGATGTATGTTAAAAAAAAAAAAAATGGAGAGAGTACATGTCAAAATTGAAGTAGCTGCAACATGTGGTAGATCGAAACCATTTAGGTTAACAATTCCTCGACCGACAACGTTATGACTTCTGCTTTTTGTTCATGTCATAAAGCACACAAGCATCTGCTGCTGTCTTCATCTGAAAACACAAATTAAACTCCAAATTACAGCAATTTAGTAGTGATGCAGATACAGAACACACAAATTAGCCAACATATCAAATTAAAAAAACAATGTTCCGTAGTTATTTTTAAGGGTTAAGTGCAAAAAAAACTGCTCATATAGAGAGTTTGTGTAAAAATAGTCCATACTTTTTGAAAATGTGCATTTCAGTCCATAAAATTCAAAAAGGGTACAAATAAGCCCATCTGACCATTTTTTGGTCAAAATTGACATAAAATAAATTCAAAAATTCTATTTTGCCCTTGGGTTAAGTGCAAAAAATCTCCTCTACTATCGATATAGTGCAAAACAGTTCCTGTGTGGTATAAAACCCCCCTATACTATCAATTTGGTGCAATTACCCCCATGTTCACATAAAAAGACATTAATACCCTTTCTAATATAAATAAAATAATATTTAAAAAATTAGGCAATGTAAAAAATTCATGCTAAACAAATATAGAATATAACCACTACTAATTTTGATCTAACCAGACCGAGCCTAAAAATTTCAAAAATTCCGATTAATTTAAGACCATTAACCTTTTTTTTGAATTTTTTTTTTTTTCACATAAATTTTATACTAATAGTTACAAATTCAATATTATTCGATTAAGATCATTAACCTTAAAATAAATACATTTAAGATATTCAATAAGTAAAGACAAAATTGTATAAAATTAATTACTAATGAATTTTGAACTAAATTAAAGATATATTAAAAAATAGAATTTTATTCCTCTTGATTATTACAGTAAAGTGGATTTTATTTATTTATTTATTTATTTTACCCACTGTAAAGTTAAACTAACTGATAATTTTCCAACAAATGGTTTATACAGTAATTATGATAAATTTCAAGGATGATCACTATTATTTATTTTTAGAAATTACAATCACTGTAATTTCAAAATTGCATGCATTTGCTCACTTTATGTTTTCAGGGGACCCAAAAAGATGTTGTGAGTCCTAATTTCTTCAACTCGAGAGCAGTTAAACTACTTTTTCAATACAGACACTCATAGACCGTCTAATATGGATTATTTTAAGAGGAAATTATAGTATTGTATATATATATATTATATGTTTTTTCAAATGAGGATAAAATGTCATGTCTTTTTAAAAAAAAATTATTTTATGTCCATTTTGATCAAAAAGTGATCAAAGGGACTTATTTGCATCTTTTTTAAATTTTATAGACTGAAATGCACATTTTTAAAAAGTATAGACTATTTCGGCACAAACCCTATATATCAGAGGGGTTTTTTGCACTTAACCCAAAAATTTATATTAGAGAATGTATTAATGTCTTTTTATGCGACATGAGGGTAATTGCACCGAATTGATACTATAGGGAGATTTTATATCACACGGACTATTTTGCACTATATCGATAGTAGAGAGAATTTTTTGCACTAAACCCTCTTTTTAAACACAACTAATATCTCATAGACCCGTACCATTCTTCCCATTTTCAAATTCATTAGCTATTTTCATTTGATCACGTCATCAATCAAGTGGACCCTAGAAAAATTTCAGAAATTTCAATGTTTATAATCCGCTGAAACTTGGACTAGCTATGAAGCTATAGCTTGCTGTATCTTATTATTATTATTATTTTTTGGGAGACTGTTCCGGTAGAAAATCTTCAATCATGACATTCACTAATTTTCAGACGATATTGGAGTTCTAATTATAATATTTTAATCCTTCGTTCTTCGCTCAGTGCTACAGTATGTATGGTAACCATAAACAGAAAAAAAAAATTTGAGCATTTAAAATCCTATAAGCAGACCACAAGCTTCAGAGCAGTTTTTAGTTAAATAAATTGATTGCTCTTAATGAATTATTCGAGTTGTGCATTCAAGGATGAATCAGACTAAAAGAGAAGCCAACAAGTCATCCAATTCGTAATTCTTTTTATTTCTCCATTTACAATATTTGAACATAATGATTTCAACACATCAAAGATAACAAAAATAATCAGGTCTCTGATTTCCACCTTGTCTTGAACTCAGGAACGGAAATCACACAGAATTTTTTTAGTTAAAAGATAAGATTCGAACCTTGGCATCTACTTCATAGTGGCCTAACTTACAATCAGGCCAAGACACCAGTTAACCGTACTATTAAGTGCTCTAAAAAAGTCAGAATAGCACCCTATTTCTCGTGTATCAAGGCAAATTGAGAGCTTTCATGATTGTCCATTGACCGGGGTACCACGTGTAAGTACCCCTAGGTATCGTCTACTTTCTCCCTTAAATGGGCTGATACCGTTAGTACGGTCAGCGGTCAACGTAAGAATAAACATTAACTATGTGCTTCTTCGCATTTACGAGGTATTTGATCCATTATTCTTATCAATGCGAAGAGGATACTCTTCCGGAATGGCCTAAATATCTGGCCAATTCGAAAATTAAACTGATTGAACTCCGGCTTAAACCAAGAGGCTGACGACCCCTCCCTCCCACACCACTCCCAAAAAGTAAAGAATAAGAATAAAATGAAATAAAAAATGATATATTAAATATTTGTAACAAAAATTATATGAAGTTATTGAATGAAAGAAAACCTTTAGATGAACAATGCATTTATACCTGTATAATGTTCACTGCTTGCTTGATTGCCCATCCAAACAGAAGAAAGGGAAGTACGACAGAAAGTAAAGAACTCTGTTTTCCAGCATTCACTAAAATCTAAAAGAAAAAGATACAAAAACAAAAAAAGCCCGGGTAAATCCTCTCAACATTCAATTAAAAATTTTAACACCACTAACGAAATGAAGACTTACATCAGACAAATTTTCGGTCGTGTCCTTTGAAAGAAGAAACAAAATTATGTAAAGAACCTGCAGAACCAAAACAATCAGCTCAAGGAAAAAAATTAGCAATTACTTGAATGAATTGTCCCACTCAGGAAGGATTTCCAAAGCGACAACCACCTCACACGCTATACAACAGTAACCCATAAACATTCTGTTCCCGTAGTATGCCTTGAATAGCCAGTTTGTGCTGTCTTTTACATCTTTATGGCTAAATTTGCCTACCAAGAATGAACTGCGATGAAAAAGAGATATTCTCTTGAAGTTAGACATGTATCCTAACGGACGAAAATTGTGACTAATTTTGCGTACCAGAATGAACCGTAATGAAAAAGTGGTGGAAAAATAGTTGAAGAATAAAGTTATTTTGAAGGCTATCCTAATGGATGAAAATGCTCAACATTAATGGCTCCGTTTGTTTGAGCGTAAAATATTTTCTGTGTTTTTTAGTGTTTGGTTGTCGTAAAATATTTACAAAGAAAAAAAATATTAAAACTTAACAAAAATAACTTATTCATCAATTTTCGGGAAGCTATTTTACACACATAGACTCGACCTAGACCTTTGCCAAACACTGAAAATTAAAAATAAAAGAAAGTATTTTACCTAAAAATATATATATTTTCTGAGAAAAATATTTCACGTCGAAACAAAGGGAGCCTTAGATCCATAACATTCAAGCATGTTTTGATCTGGACCTTAAAATGAAAAAGGTAAAACTGATAGATACCTGTACATCTGCAACCAATGGCTGCCAATATCTAAAGCAAGAAGTGACAAGAAAACCGAGCCAGGCCTGAGAAAAGATCATAAAGAAAAGCTCAGAATTTCGCACGTTGAATAGTGGTGCAATTACTACAAACAGAGGTTAAAGCAGATTCTACCTATACACTTGGGAGAGAATTACTAGTAGGCAAGTAGTGCTAATCCTGAGCCACAAAATATATCAATCAAGATGGCCAGAGCAGTAAAAATTAAAGAATTCATGAGGACAATTATAACGGAAAGAACGTAAAAAATGCTGGAGGAAAATTATAGAGGGAGGGGAAGTTCATAGAAATCACCTATCTGTCACCATGTCCAAAACGGCTCCGAAAGTCGAAACTGACAAAATAAATAAAATAAACATAAGAAGAAGAAACACAAATAGCATTTCTGTTTATGGAATAAAGAAAATCATTCAATCACAACAGGTCAGCGAACGCTATCACCCAAGTAGAGATTGGTTAATATCACAAGCAAAATTAAAGTGGTCAAACGGCTTTGATAGCAAAAATGAACTGATGTGATAGAGTCAATAGGATGCAAGAGTAGGAAGAAAACTAAGAAATCAACTAATACTTGAACTGACATTTTGTTCAACAAAGATTCAGCAACAAGTACTTTAGTTTAAGTTTAAATTCAAGCTTAAATGCCCCAAAGACAAAACAAAGCAAAAACTTATAACCAATTAAAAACCCATGAAAAAGAAGAGGTGGTTTTCTCAAACAGGGTCCGCTGGTAAGCTGGAACACCAATTACTCGCTACAGTATGCTAAATGGCTGGCCAACCACATTCATAGCGGATTAAGGCAAGGATGATGAGTATGCTAAATGGTGAAGGGACACCAACAGTATTATAAATCCAATTTTGGAACATTAAACAAACTTCTATTTTAGCTTGCACCAAATTAGAGCCTATAATTGAAAAGGGACCTGCCTCTATCTTATTCTGCTTATACGACAAACACTATGAAACCATGCCTAAACATCCTTTCACAGTCCCTTCAGACACTTTGTTCGATTATGACTAATTCGGTATATAAAATCTACAAACACTTTTACATACATCTGAAGTTTGAGTTCACTTCTCATGGTCTGCAAGGTTTATTGCCTCAAACAATAAACACACACACACAGAGATTATGTTCTACAATCCAAAAATAGAAATTTTGGCATAAAAATGTAACAGAAAGAATAAATTATTGCAATTAAAAATTTCAGTCTCTTGTACAGAATGCATAATTATGTTACTTCATTTTATATTTTACTTTCTCTACTTCACACCATGCATCTTGCATCATACTAGCAAACCAGTCTCATCCGTGGTTAAGATTAGACACTGAACTAACAAATTGATGACAGCAACAGAACTATATGAATTCATACCTTGATTGAATTTGCGAGCGAACCAACCATCCAAGGCATCACAGGCAAAGCTGAAACCACATTCAGTCAATTAGCACTTCAACTTTTATGCACAATTAGCGCTATGAAACACATTACAATAGGGGGAAGAAGGGTCCCGAAATACCAATTCTCACCTAACAAAATAGAAAATAGAGAAAAGCTTTTTGTCGGAAAAGCATATGGCAAAGGCAATGCAATTTATTAGAATTCTTATATAGCCTGCGTTCAAATATACACATAAGGCAATTCAGTTAACTCCATAGAAGAATCCTTAAGCACTTTGCACTTACATATTAGCACAAGAACTCATTGGAAGAATAGTAAATGCAAACAAATATGCATTACGTATCCTGCATATCCATATCGGAATATAATAATTTGAAGAAACTATCAGCATGATAAAAGGATTCAATCAATAATGTGAGAAGACTTGTGTATCCTGGATTCCAGTGTAAGCATAAAATGAATCAACCAACTCAACGCAGAATAAAATTTTGAAAACATAATAACATAAGAGTTCTTGTCTTTCCCAAAAACTTGGGTAATAAAAAATAAAATAACGGCTTCATTTCTAATATATCAACATGCAAACAGTTATACGAAAAAAAAAAAAAGGGGGGGGCATTATTTAGTGTATTTCCCGTCTACATGAGGTACCAGCAGGGAAGACTGGAGATGGACAATTCTCATCTTAGCATGCTTTTGCACAAAGTGGCTGCTCTTAGACTCAAACACGAGCTCTAACCATTGCGGCAATGATCCCCATTATGCAAACAATTACACATGGAAGTTTATATATATCCTACATACCCATGTAACTTTTTTATGATCCAATGAACTCATTTGCAGAACAGAAAAAGCTAATAGTTACGTCTGATTGTTTACACATATCATATGACAGTAAAATGAACTCATGGACATTAATAACAATACACAGCCATCATTCAAATTGAAGTTAAATGCTTGCAACAACAAAATATTGTCAACTATGTTTGTAGTATACTTTTGTAATATGTGTGGGTGCTTACTTGGATAAACCACAAACAATAGAAAAGTCAACAAAGAACGAATGTCAGGTCCACAAGACCTTGAGGGACAATCCTTAAGTCTAAAAATAAAACCCTGAAAAATCCCCCAAGTCCACCAAACCTCGATGAGCAATCCTCGAGTCCCCAAAGCCCTTTCTCAGGTCCACCAAATCTCGAGAAGCAATCCTCCAGTCCCAAAAACCCTAAAATTTTCTCAAGTCCATCAAATCTCGAGAAGCAATCCTTGAGTCCCAAAAACCCTTGAAAACATTTTTGCATTCACCATTACTTCCTCTGACTTGCCTACTTCTTCCCCTCCTTCCAGAACATTGTTCTCCCTTTGTATGTGATACACCTCACTTATTACTGTTTATTACTCTATTAGGAATGAAACCCCCACAATATTCAATTCCAATTTTACAGGAATAATGATATTTAAACCATTAGGGTACGCTTTGGCGCAACAGTAAAGTTGTTCCATTGTGACATAAAGGTCACGGGTTTAAAACCAATTCAAAGCCCTTGAATGCATGCATTGAAGTGACCCCTCAGTATATCATCTATATCAATTTTATACCAAAACCATAACTCAATTCAACAATACTAAGTATCTTAATTAGGACACAAAAAACTGTTTAATCAAGAAACCCACCGATGATATTGGGAATGTAAAGGTATACAGATAATTTCCTCGGTCGTGACGTCTTAGCCATTGCTAAAACTTTATCTACAAATCAAAATTGCATAAAAGGCATCAGTCTAAATACCATCTATCATTCAAGCATAAAAACAAATCCCCTGTAACATATCACAATTATATGATCAATATATATATATATAATTTCCGAAAAAAATATATATAGAGAGAGAGAGAAAGAGAGTTACAGTGTCCAGTGACCAGAACCCTCACCGATGGGGAAACCCACTTCCTTGGATTTGCCGAAACCACCCACGTCCTCAACCTTTTATCGGCCAGCTTCAACATGAAGCACTTTTTTGTAGGACACAAATAGGGAGGGACTTTTTTGACAATCATCTTTTTTTCAAAAACATTGGCTAAAGCCTAAAACCAAGTTTAAGTTGAGAGTTTCAAAAGCTTAATTATTATTATTAACGAAACTGTTTTCTTTTTTTTTTTTAAATTAAAACAACTGTCAAGTTACTAACAAAGTTTGGGTGATTTATTTTATTACTTTTAAGTATTCGTAGATAATACTTCAACATAATTATGTTCGCCAAACATGTCTTAAGTGATGATGGGTAAAGAGAAAAATTCAAAGGTGTACAATAATTCAAGTTGGTTGAAGACTCTCTGCTATAAATTTTGTTGTAGTGCTGTATGCGTTGAAAATTATATGTAACTTTTTTTTTTTCCTTCTGAAGTTAAAATTATATGTAACTTTTTTCTGTTTTTTTTTTTTTTTTTTTTTCTTCTTCTGAAGTTAAAATTATATGTAACTTATTAGAGCAAACTCAATGGAGTATTTAAAATTGACTTTCTGAATTTGCCGCGTAAATAATTTTCAAGAACCACGTCAGTGTTTTGGAGTCCGTCAGTGTTTTGGAGTCTTTCAAATTTTAGCTATATATTGCATATACTCCAATAGTGTATTTTTGCTATTATTTTAATATTTTTTACATTTTTTTTAATATATATATATATATATATATATAATCATCATCATTATGTAATGAACAATACGAATATTAATCTGTCTAAATTATGTTTATCCTAGATTCAATTATGGGTCGTCCAAAAGTCGCGTTGGAATGTTTAACCCGTTTTTGCATTAGATTGCTGCACAGGGTATTGTTTCCAGTAAATCGTTGACAGACGAGTAATAGAATCTCTCTTAAGCAGAAAGACGACAGAATAGTAACTTACTGTTCATTATATAATATTATAATATTTATACTGCTTAGACCTCAAAGCATTAACAATAATTAACAGACATGTTACAACCATCTTCGTCCTCTTCTTCAGGACTACAGGACAACCAGGACTCAGAACTGGTAAAAAATACTGAAGTTGTGGAATGGACCAATGTTCAAAATCAATTGAACAAATGGACTATCCCTCCAGTAAGTGCAAAAAGCATTTACAAAATCGGAATGCTTAATTTAGCTGATCTATGGACTATTAAGACCATGGAACAGACCATGCAATTAAGCACTAAGGATACAATAATTAAATTATTGTCTTCCCGTGACCTTCAGAGGCACATGCATAAATACAAGTATATCCATATAGGTTTAATTCAAATTGCTTTTAAACCTTTAACCTTGTTAGGTATGGATGCCTGCATTCAAGCAACCTTAAGGGATGCTCGATGTCTGAAATTTCACCCTTCTTTGATGGGTGCACTGGAAACCAGTCTATGTCATGGACCGGTTTATTTTGATGTCTATCCTAGTCTAAATTTATCTTTAACAGATAAAAATATCCATGAGGCAGTTAGTCTTCGGGTACAGACTTATGGATATGACTACTTACCTGGATCGGAAGTGATAAGTGTTATTTATCGCATCCATTACAAAGTACTTGATACTATGTGTCCCAAGGCCATACGCAAAGACTCTAAAGGAGTAACAGCGTTATGGGATACTAACATGTACACATCAAATGTTGCCACAAAAAGGATGATTCCTTGGAGTGAGATAACATTTTCTGAACACTGGACGATTTCTAATGCCGTCCCAGCACAGCCAATTGCTAATCATAGCTTAGACTGTGTTATTCAGGATCAAGATGGTGATGTTTTTCTGAATTTCAGAAAATCCATCGATCTATCCAGATCGACATCATTTAAAGGAAGTCATCTTCCTTATCGTGTTTCTTGTCCTCCTTCTCGACATTCGATCTCGTCAGATTACCGTAAAGAAGGACTCCCTGAAGCAGTTGATTCCAAGCTCAAGCTGAAAGGAATACAACAATCTCCGAATCAAATTCCAAGAGGAGTTTACGAGAAAGCACCAATAGGTA